AATCCAACAAGGTTTTCTGGCCATGCAGCCAGGTTCAACAAGAACACAACGGTGATCACAGATCACCCGCGCTTTCCAGCGCGCCTTCCACGGACCCCCTTTCCGCTGTGGTCACGGCGGGGATCCCAAAACTCAAGCAAACTGCGAGTGGCAGGATTCATCAACAGTCCTGGAAGCTTACTCAAGCCGTCAGCAATGTATACTCGAGCCACCTTATTCGAGGACCAACGTCCTTTGACCAATGCCACTTCCATACTTCCTGTAGTCTGGAAGAGGTGCGTTGCACCCCCTCGTCTGAGGGAATACGGTCTAAAATGGAGCGTGTCCAATTGAAACCGTCGCAGGTAGACATCGAAGTGATTCCTGAAGGCCTGTCCGGAGTATTCCCAGAACTTATGCTGTAAAGCGTGGCGGCTCTGCAACACATCAACAGCAGCCTGAACAACCATGTGGGTGAAAACATCTTCAATGCATATAGTCTCATCTGCCGAATTCCGCTTGCCACTCTTAGTGCCCTTTAGGGACAGGATCAGTTGAGTATCATTAATCAGCACATCAGAGCCTCGCAATGCCAACATCTCTCCAGTCCTGAGGAGTCCAAAGAATCCCACGCACAGGAGCGCAGCGAAAAACAGGTCTTGATGGCAGAGAGCATAGTGGGACAAGCTGTAGACAATCCCACAAGTGAGTGGCGGCGCTCTCGCCGGCCATTCAAGCTTACGCCAGGTCGCAAACAAACGCCAGGCTGAAGGGATGCAACGCTTGGTAAGAGGTTCATAAAAGTGCAAACCGCAAAGGGCATTGCTAACCACGTACAAGGATTCACCATCCTCCCACACAAGTTGCACCCATTCGGCTACTGCCGTATCAAGGTCACTGGGACTTTCGACATCGCTGAGAAAAGGCAGTAGCTTTCGAAGTCCAGCCTGGTACCCGGCTCGAGTCTTTTCTGTGACACTGGCTTCTGCCAAATCAAGTCCTTTTCGAGCTTGTTTGCGCTCTTTGCGAGTGGATTTGTGAATCAACCGGGGATGGAACTTTCCCATACCTCTATTCAACTCCTGCTGGCAGCGTCAGTAGGGTTCTCTGTACTCTCAACATGGGTGACCAACAGATGAATTCCATGAAAGAGCAACATGGCGTTCAAGATGCGAAGCAACCGGTTCAACATCTGACTAGATGTCCTCCCCTTACTGACAATGCTCATGGAGACATAGCTGTCCGTGGCATGAAAGACCCGAAGGTTTCCCCATTTCTGGCGCTCAATACCCCGCTGGATTGTAAGAAGGATAGTTTTAAGCTCCAAAAGGTTGATGTGTTGCGAACGCTTCCAACGAACCTTCACAAAGTTTGACCAAGACCACCATGCGGCAGCCTAGGGAAGGCTCTCGGATTGACAATGTCGCCACTTACAACTCTCACGTCACTACCTGTGAAGTTTGCACGCCCCAGAAAGAATCTGTTCAACTCTTGAACCGTGAGGTCTTGAGCGGCATCAACAAGGTTCTGACATCCGTACTGTAGCTTGCGGGCTAGCGGGGCTTGTAATTGAAGGGACGCTCGGAAACCTGGGGCTAGTCCCAATCGGTTGGCCAGGTGCTGATAGTGGATTCGAGGAAGGTATTTCTGACAGAGGGCCGCCCCAACAACAACGAAGGAGTAGATGCTGAAGGCGTCTCCTACCCATGAACACTTCTCGAGTTCAAACTTGCGACGATTTTGTTTGATCTGACTGGCAGACCAGGCAAGCTCACAATGACCAAACCCGTAGCCCATGAGTAGGCCTCGCTCTTCACTATTTATTAGACGCCACCTGCCCTTTCGCCAAATTAGGAACTCTTCACGAAACTGGTAAGGGGGGTATATGTACCCAGAGGCAGCCCATCTGTCCTGACAATCCTTGTCAGCTCTATTGAGCCCTGCTGGAAACTTTGGGGGGACCTCTTTGAAGACTGCGCGCATACACGTGGGAAACCCTTGTGCTGCTATCTCTCCTGGCCATTCGGACCCCTCTTCTAACCACTGGCTCAAGAGGGGATAGGGCGCCTTTGCTGTGATGCGACACCAACGTCGTTCTTCAATGCATTGAAGTCCGTCCAGACAGTCTTCCACTGATTCCGACGTCCAACACAGTCGGGGGCGCCTCATTGGCACTGCATCCAAACTGTCCAGGTGATATGGACGTACGCCCATCCAACTTGATATCTCTTCCGATGCGGATTCATCCATTGATGCCACATTTTCTGCTGCTGTTTTGATTGGGATGTCACCGAACTCCTCTGTGAGCAACTGCCAAATCCTAATATATTCAAAGAACAACCCACTGTCACGTCCTTCAAGATTTGTGCGGCCTGCTTTAGCTGAGCTTAGATCTCTACAGGGAAAACCTCCCCAAAGATGCACCTCCGACACCGTATGAAAATCCACGGCCCACTCTTGAGCAACCTCTCTGGTGATGTCCCGAACGTCTCGCAGGATCCTAACACCTGGCCACCTTCGGCTAACTATCCTATTGGCAGGTTTGAAAACATCCACGGCGATTGAGGCTCTGGGGATGATGTCCAACACGTCGTAGATCCTAAAGGTTCCTCCGATACCCGAAAAGAGTCCAATCACCAGGATGGGAGCGGTCCCGAGGGTTCGGCTTGAAAGTCTGGCCGACATAAGAAAGTCTTTCCCCTGATTCGACAATGATTCTGCTGCCGCAATTGCTCCTCCCGATTCTGAAGCGTCACTGCACCAGAACGACGTGTCAATGCCGGCACCTAATGAAGTGTGCAAAAGGGGGATAGCCAACATCACCATAAACAATTCTCTCTTAACCTGAAGCGAACGATCACCCCCTCCGTGCTTAGCACTAATGAAGCTCCAGACTTTGTCCAAGAAACTCATTCCCGGTCGTCTGAATTGCAACACATGCACCCATCGTCCGGCAATCACTTGTGTTTGTTTCTTATCCAGAACCTTCTGAGAAAGGACCCAACAGGTGGCTTGAACCAGTTTGCAAAATCTTTTGCTCGAACCCCCTAAGTAGCCCTCTTGACCATGGATGAGGGCCCCTAGCTCCTCAATCTCAACAGCACATTCAACCTTTTTCTTTTGTGAAGAGACAATGCCAACCCTCTGCCAAGCGGACTCTGCCTTATTATGTTGAACCCGGCAAGCTTCCGGATCCTCCCCAGAAACTCTCTTTTGTCCCCCCATAAAATTATCAAGATAGACCTGCCAAAACGCCTTATCCTCAGCAATGGCCTGTCGTGCACAACGAGTGAGGATATCCGGCATCGCAAAGCCTCGACGGATCTGTGACTGCTCGCTGAACCCCGCATTCCACAAAATGCGCTCCGACACTTCTTGCATGATCGACACGCTAGAGTTCCAACCCATTGGCAGCACTGAACAGGCCAGCGTGTATGAACATCCTGGTGTCTGTCCAATTTCTGCACCATCGGAATGCACATCGAAACACAGGTACGGCTGCCACTTGCGTGGCAACCTGAACAAGTAAAATGCACTTGACATGTCCGATTGTCCCATGACCAGCTCTTCTCCGTCATCAAGCACTGTAGCTTGAAAGCACGCGATGCTGGGGAGTGATCCCACAGCACCTTTGACTTGCTTCATAATTGCATTGCTAGGTTTAAGATTCATGATGACTCTCAAAATGGGTTTCCCGTTAGGGAGACAGGAGGGCTTCTTTACACCAAACAAACCGTTCAGGACACGCACCCCCCTAAAAACGGCGACCTCCTCACTCCTAATCCAAGTGCAGATGTTTCTCTGTGTTAATTCCTGACAAACACGAAGACGTTCTCCCTTTCCGAAGTGAACGTTTGCTGGAATTTTTGGCATGGGCAAGCAAAAATCATCGCGAAGCAACAACTCAGGCTCAATGAGGAGTTTTCGGGTGGCGTTGGAAACGATATCTTCGAGATGAATCGAGCCCCCGTGTTCGACCGGAGGAAGTGCAGGAAGAATCTGTTCTAGTGTCAAAGGTTCACAACTACCCAGTTCTTCCCCGTCATATCCGACCCGAGCGCGAGCGAGATCAATGCCAACTTTTTCAAAGCTCTCGAGAGGTCCAGGTTGAGTTCTGAGCAGCCTCTTCACGGCTTCTCTGGTGGTCGCTACTCCTCTCTTTTCTATGGCACTCCATCTGCCCTCCTCCAGCGGGCCTCCATGGCCCGCCAGGAAGTTTGTGGCAGTCAATGCACACAGCAACCAACAATCTTCTCCAGCCTCCTCTTGAAAGTCGGGGCACAACACTTCTTCAATGCTCATGCTCCTCAGTTTCTCAACCACTCCTTTCAACTCTCCTAGCCTCACGGGGAACGAGGCGGCCTTTCGGGGCCCCTCGCGACTGGCTGCGGACAATGTTTTGTCAAAAACAACCTTTGATATCCACGACCAGGCTCCGGCCTTGGTGGATCCTCCAGCTCGCTGCGTCATCCAAGCCAAAAGGCAACCAGCACTCAAAAGGCCTGTAAGCCGGCTGCCCACTGCTCGAACAATGTCGTGGCCAGAAACGAATTCATCCTCTGCTCGTGCAAAACTCCTCTGCTTGGCCTCAGGTGATTCCTCCTCTGCACATGCAACGACCTCTCGAGTCTGAGCGGCCTCACCTTCCACCAAGCACCTTCTCCTCTTCAAAGCTGGTGCCAAACCCTCCAAATCCTCTGAGGGATTTACTGTCGCCCCCTTCTTTCCATCCTCTCTCAACTCTCCTTTTCTCCTTTGTCCTGCAAGTCCTTCCAACCGGCCTTGCCCTTTCCTTCTTTGTGCCGATCTCCCTTCTCTTTGTCTTTGCTCTTGCCCTTCTTGTTCTTTCCCTTGCCTTTGTCGCTTGACCACCACCCTTTTCCTCTGCCTTCGCCTCCTTGCCACGGCCGTCCTCTCCACGGCAGCCACTCCGGGGCTTCGACCTTCATAGTCGCCTTGGCATGGCGGCGAGTCTCGAGCAATATCGATGCCGAGGTGGCTGCTTGGTCGGCATCGTCCACGACCTCCAAGAATCGGGCCTGGCTCCACGATCCATCGTGAAGCGACTGATGACACGCCAGGAAGTGCCCGGCCAGGGCGTCGGCCGCTCTGGCGATGTGCCCGGCTCGCAACAAGTCGAGGGTGGTGGCCATCAGTGCCAAGTCTCGCATGGGTCCTCGAGCATGGCCGAACGTCGCCTTGATCTGCAGCTGGAAGTATGTCACCAGCTTCACTCCTCCAACTATGGCGTCTCCTCCTGCTGTTCCTTCTATCAATGCCGACTGGTCGAGGGCGGTCTGGGCTTTCTGGACCAGCAGCCTGAGGACACTGCCAGGGCTGGCTTTGGATCTGCGACGAAGCGGCGCTTCGAACTCGTTGGTGTCGCTGCCGCTGGATTCGCTGGAGGAACTTCCCGAACTGGATGTTGAGACGATGACTCCATTGACGAGCTTGCGCTTCCGCTTCTTTCCTTTGTCCTTCTTCTTTCTCTCCTTCTTCTTTCCTCTTTTCTTTTTCTTCTTCTTTCCCTCGTCGCCGTCCGATGGGGCTTTTCCTCCTGCCGCTCCTCCAGCGCTCGAGCGCTCGGAGATGGCTCGATTCAACAACTCCATCAACTCCTCGTCTCCTCCCCTCGAACGACCGTCCTTCTGACCTGTGGCGACTTGAGCTTGATGAGCCAGCTGGGCCGAGACACTCTTCAAAGTAGAATCTCTTGTACCCCCTAGCTCCGTTCTCGTCCTCTTGAGACTCGTCCCCGTCGATAGACTCGGCCTCGCCGGAACAGAGCTTGAAGGCTTGGCTCCATCCTGCAATGCTCCCCCTGACTCTTCCTCCACGTTGGCATCCTCTGAAAAGCTGACACGCCGCCGTGGCTTGGCCCCCAACCGTTCTCTCAGAGCATCCAACTTCTCTCGCAGGTCGTCTGCCTTCTCTCCTCCAATGCCTGCTGAGCTTTCCAAGGTCAGGTCCTCCTCGATGCCTTCTTGTTCGATCCCATGCTTCCTCCTCTTCAAAGGTGGTTCCTCGGGAGGCGGAGGATCGGGTCGCGTTCCCTTGGCTGTAGTCTTCGGGCGTCTCAACGCACCAAGCCGAGCCCCTGGCCTTGAAGACCTTGTGGAGGCATCTCCCTTGCCTTTCTCCTTGCGACCGGCATCTCCTGATGACGGCTCCCTCTCTGCCGCCTCCTCGCTCTCGACAGCCTCGGCGTCCTCTACAACCTTCTCCCCTTCTCCTAGCCACTTGGCCACTTGCCTCTTCTGAGGAGCTCCATAAAACGACGCCTCGAATCCTCCTCTCGTAAAGAACCTGACTCGAACGGCGTGAAGGAAGTGGTCCTCGGTGTAGGTGCAAGGGGTGCTTGAGCACAAATGTAACACCCCCTGCTTGCGGTTGAACCATGTTGAGAACTGCCGGGTCACTTCTGGGGTTGAACCCCCGATGGACTTGACCTCCAAACCCATGCCGCCCTCTGGCGTCACAAACCTGTTCATCACCAACAACGCGACCTCCTCGTCTCCTCCTGCTGCAAGGTCGGTGTCCCGGAGAGCTATCAACGCAATGTCCCCTCGAACGGGGGTCAACATATGCCAATCTGGTCCTCCCTCCAAGGCGAAAGAATCTCCTTCGCCCCATGCTGGAAATACTGCTCTCAACGTCGCCATTCCTTCCCCGGCGGGGGGTAAGGAGGCTCCTTCCTTTCCTTAAAACTCTGTAGCTGCTCCACGCTCCTCTTGCGATGCACTCGAATCGTAGGGTCTTTGTGTTGCCGATGGACTTGTTGATGCTTGCTTCCTCCACGTCTCCCTCTTCGCCTGGTCCTCTCTTTCTTCTCCTTGTGCTCCTTCTTCCCTGTCGACTGTCTGTCTCGCCTCTCACCGTCGCGATGTTTCCTCTTCCTATCCTTCTTGACCTCTGCAGCCTCTGCACTTCCAGCGCCCTTCTTTGGGGGGCTCGGATTTGGTCGACGAAGGTGGATGCCTCACAACGTCCTTCTTGGGCTCAACTTCTTCCTCCTCTGATGTCTGATAGGAGTACTCGGACTCTTCTTCGTAGACTTCGTCCTCCTTCTCCTCAACGACCTCCTCAAAGTCCTTGTTTGCGGCCTCCTTGAGGATTGGCGGCGCTTTTGGAGGGGGAGCCGGTTTCGCCTTCCCTGTCGCCCCCAATGCCTGACCAGCTGATGTGGACGGGCCTGAACGTGCCCCACTGCGGTCTTCACCCTCAAACCTCAGCCGCAGTGACAAGATCCTCAAGGTCTTTATCGACTTGCTCTGGTCCACCAGCTGATCTGCCGCCAACCTCCTCAGTTCGTGCGAGCCCCAGCGAGCCTTGAGCTCGCACGAGACTGATTCGCACGCGGTGCACGCAAGGCACCACGAATCGCCTGACAGGGCAGGCGCAGCTCGGCACTTGTGACAAAGTGCCTCACCCATCACCCGTGAACTGTAAGCCCAAAGGTAGCGGCATAACACCAATCGCCCTATGCTTCTAAAGAAACAAATTAAAACACACTGTCAACTTTCGCGTAAGCATGCTGACCCTCCTAACTATGTGTAGCTTCAAAAAGGAAGGCTAGGTCCAAATCCCATGTTCTGAAGCTCTTCTGCCATCATTCTGCAGCGAAGCAAAGCACTTGTGCCTCTTCACCTGCGAGGTGGGAAGTTCGTCCCACTGAATACCAACAAACATCCATTAAGATCAATTACTTGGGACATCTGGGGACCTTTCCAACTGTTCAGAGTTTCTGCCTCGGCCTTGGTTTGATGGATGAACAGGTAGAAATTCTGCATCATTGGCAGATGTTGGCTTCAATAGCTCGAAACATGACTATCTGACTAACCATCCGTAACTACATTCCTGCCATTGGCCCACCCTCACCGAGTGCGTGGCTGTGGTGGGTCTTTTTGGACTTCTTCATCCCGGCCAAGTCTTTGATCATCTCCTAACCCGCTGTGTGGAGACCGCTGGTGGTTTCTCGTTCGGGTTATATACTTTCTCGTGAAAACGGTGAAGTCGTTGCAGCCTTGTGGAAGGCAACATTTGTCGCCCACTGCCATGTCGGACTGCCGATCAGGCCAGGGTGGGTGGGTGAACGGGGGGTCTTTCTGGGGCTGTTTGGGGTCAAAGATCCAGTGTGTGGGATTGGTTGTTCCGCAAGCGGAGGCCATGACCTTGTCCCGAAACCTATTTGTGGCCGATACCCTCTCACTCACTGACACGGAAAAATGCCACTGTTCCTGTTTGGCGAGTTGGAGTTGTAAATTGGCAGTTCGGAGGTGTCGGTTCACCACATGTCAAAACACTAGGCTATAAGGAATGATCCCACAATTTCAAAGACGGTCGCACGTTCTTTTTGGACTTGGTCAAATTGGTGAAGCTGATGAAAAATGACGAGACTGGTGAGACTAGCAAATCTGGCAATTCTTTTGTTGAAGTTCCAGTGTCTCCTTTTACAATTCATTGCAGTTCCGCAGAAAAGAATGGATGCTCGCACAAACACCATTCCCAGAAAACATGCCTACAAAAAAGAACGGGGTGGATGATAAGGTGAATATGGAGAGTTCCGCTTTTTACACCAGTGTTCAGTCAGAGTCAGGTTCATATGCCATGGAAATGGTCCCACAGGTTGCGTTGCACAGGTTGCACAGGTTGCGTTGGCAAGAATGGATCCAGCACCTGGCGTGAGGTCTTTTGAGCTGAAACTTGGATGAATCACACCAGCTGCTTCCAACGGGTCATCTGGCTGGACAACCCTACAGGTCTCCCCATTGGAAGTGCTAGGTATGCTTGATATGGTTTGATTGTCTATCCCATTACCAGTAGAGGATGGTGGTTAGGTGGCGGGCCTTTCTCTAAGATTGTGATACTTCTTGATCGACTGTTACAGGTAAGTTCGGACAGGCCTAACATATGCGTGTTTGTCTCAAGGGAAATCCTCAGCTTGGCAACCAGAATCCCAAGCCATGTCCCCATGTTCCACCAGGACTGTCCGAGTTGGATCGCTATTGACTTCTCCTGGATGTGTTGTTCCTTGCCCGCGATGTAGGCTCGAATCCGTTTCTCATCGTTGACCTCGAAAGCATGGCCATTTGGACCCCGCCTGCGGTGAACCCTCTTTGGATTGACGTCCAAAAGGCAAAAGGATGCTGACCCGTAAAATTTGCCCAAAAGTGCGGATACTTTTGAATGGCATGCTCAGCATGTTTCCACCATAAGTTTCCTCAACCCCACCTCCGAGAGTGAATCTCTATTGGAGAATGACCTCTTCCACCCACTCTAGCTGCACCCACCGAGGCCACATCATGACAGAAAAAAGTAAAACCGAAGACGCCGAAGACGACAGTCCCCCTCATCTCAGAGACTTCGTGACTTCGAACCAATACAAAAGACATATATACCGTGACCTCATCTCTTTTCCAAAGAACCGTGACCCCCCTCATCTCTTGAAACCAAAGACAACAAAAGCGGAGGGGACTTTCTGGGTGACTACCCTTTTGCACTCACCGGTCCGACCGGTGACGTCGTGGGTGCCACCACGCTTGTCTCGCCTACGTTTGGGGCTCGCCTGTCTACACCCTGCCTGACGTCCGCCCCTTGCGTCCTTTTTGTTTTTTCCTCTACCAGGCAGTGTGAGTGTGTTTTCAGGGTCCATGCGATCGTCGACACCAGGGTGTATACCTGACATGGTCAACCTGTGTGTGGGGCTCCAGGTACCACCCACATACCGGAGACGTCTGAGACGTACAGATTCTTCGAGGTCCGGTCCAGCTGCCAGGTACGTTTTGGACCGGGGAGTAGATCCCCTCAATTCGATGAATCAAACCAATTGAGATCCATTGAGTATACCCAAAGACTCCATATTACAAACACCTGCCGACATTGAACCCGACCTGGACCCCAATTCAACCACCCTATGATCTCCTTTATAGATAAATATAAGAGTCCCATGTCTAGTAGATCTTTGTCAAGGCCATCTATGGTTCCATCATGTTCCATCCCATCTCATTCCACCCGTTTTCTCGCCAACGCGTCCCCGCCAGGCCACATCGGAGCACGTGGCTCCGTGGATCAGCGTGGCGATCTCAGTGGGACGGACCTGATGGATCAGGATATGCAGCGCCACGGAGTTCGGGTGGTTTATGGATCACTCCTTTTTTCCTATACCCAGACACTCCATGTATGCCATATATGCCTAGATTGATGGTGTATGCCATAGATCACCCCTTTTTCCTATCCCTAGGGATCCAGTCGTACCGAACCTCAGAAGGCACTTGGACCCTCCCCATCCCAAACACCTTCTGAGAAGGTACTTGGATCCCTAGGGTATATACCAGGACCATCCTGTCTGGGTGTCCTGGCTGGACTACCCTACACTGCGGATCTCCAGACAGGACACCCATTGAATGGATGGTGCAGGTATAGATCCAGTGTTTTCGATCCATGTTGCTGGTTTTATATCAATCATCATCTTCTGTCACTGTTGGGTCAGTCTGTAAATGCAAATTTTCTATAATACAAGTACAAACAATACACGTGCTGGAACAATCAAAGTGAAACACCACCATGCCATCCACATAACGATTCCAGGGAGTGTGTGGTATGGCGGTATGACTCAGAAATAGGATACTCACATGTACTCATCCTGTTCACCCAGTGGATCAAAATGGTTCAAGGAAAAACCAATTGGCTTCTAAGACCGTGGTCCAAGACCTACTAGCTTCTTGCTACTAGCAATGCCCTCGTTATGGAACCAAACACAACGGATCCCGACGGTCCCGATGAGATGAGTCGGATGACCAAATCGGTCAAACAGCGCCAAACAGCTGGTGAACAGCGGTCAAACAGCATGATGCTTTCAGGGAGTGAGGATCGTCCAGCAGGAAATAGGACACATCCACTTCAAATATGACCGAGTATATCCACCCCAGTCAAGCTTCCAGCAGAGCTCACCCTCTTCACCCCCGTGAGTTGTAGTCCGACTATGCTCTCCGCTGCACTAAACCTGGGGGTCAGAACTCCGCCACCGTGATGGACCAAAAGAAATAAGTCAGATAACTGTGTCATCTCCATCAAACAACGTTTTAGTATGTTTTAGTCATGTTTTGAGGATCCATTCAGGTGGCTCCTGACCGTGGCAAATGACACACGCACACAGAATAATCTCTCATGCACTTGTTACAGACCTATCAACCAAGAGTCTCTGAGACCTGCAGAACTTGTTACTACTAGCTTCTTGCTACTAGTACGGCCAGGAGCCCCGTTCGAGCGTCCGAAGGCTCCTACTGGTAAGGCCAGGAGCCCCTAATAGCTTCTTGTTACTAGTAGTAAGGCCAGGAGCCCCTAGTAGCTTCTTGTTCCTACTAGTAAGGCACTTGTTACTAGAAGCGATGCACTTGTTCCTAATAGCTTCTTAGTTACTGTGCAAATGCATGGGCCTTTGACGACATGTCTGAGCGATTGCGTTCCCGACCCCCCGACGAGAAAACCCCGTGTTCGAGAACGCCCCGGCTCTGCCGCGTGCTTTGCGCCCCACAGCGAGGTCGTGCAGAACGGACCTCCTCCCGGCCTTGTGAGAATCCTTCACATTGTCCTCAAATCTTGAGATGTTTCACTTCCAAACGTTCAAGCCCAATTTTTGTTGAGTGTATTTCACTTCGAACCCATTCTGATTGTCCCTCCTTCTTTGCTTCTTTGGGTAGGGTCCGGAGGGTCAAGGTGGTGGATTTGGTCGTGTGCGGTAGGTCAAACCTTCTCCAACTGGACCCATGGTCCAGTCTACACCCAACTAACCTTTCGAATCGAACTTGTTCACACAAAAAGGTCTCGGTGCCCACGTTTGGCAGGTCAAAACAGGGGGACCCTGGTGAACCACCGATCGATTGAAGAGATCCATCTACAAGGGATGTCAACCTTCCGTGGTTTGTAGGGTACTGCTTTAGACCCACTGCCGGTGGTTGTGAACACACGCTCGATTTCGGGGCGGAAAATGACGAAGTGGAAGACTTGGTGGGTATAGGAAGATGCATATCTCGTTGTTTCATGTTTTCCCATGATTGGCTATGCATATCCAGACTTGGATCCACTGTTCCACTAACTATAAAATGGTCAACAAAACCACTGCTGAACCGCGCCTGAACGGCTTGTCCACTTGAGAAGTTTCTCACTTTGACATGGTCCGTGTCTCAATCGTGTGCTTCACACCAAGGAGTTACTGGCTGTCGTGTGAGTCTCATTTGCAGCACACAGGAAAGGTCCAAAGAAAGCACCACAGTTTTTCTTGCCCACTCACAGTTCCAGCTTCCGAAAATGCATCTATCCACCCAACATACCTATACATACACTTCCTGAAATCATCGTTATGTGGATGGCCCTGAGTTCGGATGACCCTTTTCCTCATACCAAACAGCTGGGTTTGCCACTTCCCATGATTCTTTCAGAGTGTAATTCACTTGCAGCTGCAGGGTCAGCTCTTCCAAAACAAAGAAACCTTTACAAAACCCCGGATGCTCGCCCATCCCCCCTCCACCGTGTCTGTCCTTGGCCACTTGGATCATCCGACCATCTCCCCGCAGCTTCTGGACCTCCATCGCCTGGGTACACCGGCTGGGTCGCTCGCGAGCGCGAGCGCGGCGGCGATCAGGTCCGTTCATTGTTCGGTGTGGGCTCAAGCGCACCAGGGGTTTGGGTTCGCTGTGGGGGCCCAGGACCTACAGCCGACCTCAGTGACAGCTCTTCCATTGGATGTCCAGAACGAGGCTTGCCGATGGTTGGGTGAACTGGCATCTGCTCGGGTGTATTGGCTCACCCAAGCCTGAGCCATTGCATCTGCTGGAAAGAAGAAGTTTTTTCATGACCTGCTGCCTGGGACACTGCGCGAAGCAAATGCTCCATTTTTCAGAGAACCAAGTTCTCCTCTTCATCCAAACCTGGTCAACTATATCCCTACTTCAGCCTGGCAGTATGCGTCTCCTTTTTGGGGGACTACAGATCATATTCTCAGATCTTCAGACGATCCAGGTTAACCCAATCAAACATCTCCCTCTCAGAAGTCTGCCGCGGCACCTTCCACAGCTCAGCCACGCACCAAAGGCGGCAGTAGAGGCTCTCGGTGACCTGTGTTGCTGTGCAGCTCGTGCAGCTCGGAAGAGAAGGCAATGGGAACCCAACGGGTCACATCTATCGAGAGAGAATCGACCGAAGCTGGATGAAGCTTGCTTTGGATCCGGACCGAGAGAGGAAAAAACGCCCAAAGTCGCCTTCCGACCACGAAAAGAAGATGTGGAGTCTACCAAAAGCGTAAAAAACTAAGAGTTCTTTGAAGAACGTTACATATACTCCTGGAACATCTGGCCGTCTACTATGGACCCCATGGACCCCATGGAACCAAATCCAACGGGGATCTCTCGCTTCGTCGATCTTCAAGCCACGTTGGGCACCACCACGAAGGAGTGCAACTGCTGGGAGGACAGTGCCTGATGCTCGAGCTGACGCCGATTCAGGGCTTTGGGGAGCCGAAAAAAGGAGGCAGGAGATGTGGCGCCAGACATGCGCGGGGCGGTTGGAGATGGCATGAAGCGAAGTGTGAGGCTCAAGAAGGGCGGGATTTTGGAAATGGCGGATGGTTGAAAGAAGCTGATTGGTTCATTGAGTTGGTCTACTGTTTGAATTGTTGGGTTCCTGGCTTGGGCTGCTTTTGGAGCTATAGGTCTTTTTTGTGGATCTGTTCGGAAGCTTTTGGTTTCAGTGTGGCTGTGTTCTTTCGGCTTGATACACGGCCAGAACGCCAAAGGTGAAACAGCAAGCAGCGATCACTTGGAAGCTCGACCAAAGCTACTAGTCATCAGGGGATGAAAGATCTTACATGCACTCAAACTATATATACTTCCTATATGAACTTGTGTCATTGCAGATATGGGGTGAACCCTGCTTCTGCTTGCATACATGGTATCCGAATTGGAACTGCATCTTCACAAATCCCTCAAACATCCTCCGAGACAATGTTTGACAAAGACTAAGGAGTGACTGCACAACTCATACCCCAGACGCTGCATGGAACAGCCATACTTGCATGGTTTCAGGGGTCAATGTATTAGTGTAGCGCATACATTCCATACACGGAGTGTCGTACCTGAATCTTCCACCCATCACGATGTGTGCAGCTCCCATTGGCCCAAGTCTTCGTGCTCGGACACTTGAAAACGTCCCCCGGCCTAGTCCAAACGCGCACGCGCGCTATCTTCTCGACATACGCAGCGCGGGAGATCGCTCGCTCTATCCGCGACAGACGCAGCGCGCGTGCGCACGTGCGTCGGTGGCCTGCATAAACGGAGAGTCCATGAGGTCGAAGGATTGACCCAACCTGAAAGCGAGGCCGGAAGACCCGGCGGTCTCGGTCCGGTCGAACTTTCTTCCGTCCGGCCGTCGTTTTATTGTTCGCCAAAAGGACCGGTGGATGGTGAGGTGAAGAGAGAAAAAGGACTGCAGAAATCGTGTGGCTGATGCTTTTGAGATATGGATAGATATGGTTTCTTTGGGTTCACTGCCTAACAAATTAGTTGAAGCAAACACAATACAGAACCATGCGAGTATCACCTGGTTTTCACCAGATGGATTGCAACAGTGAGGTCCTAAGGTCTGCCCAAGATCATGCTCTTCGCCTTTTTCTATGCGGCAGAACCGCGAATCGACGGCAGAACCACCGTCTCGCCCAGTGTTAAGCTCGCTTCGTTGGGAGTCACCGACCAGTGAAAACCCCTGTTTCCTCTCGGATCGAGTCGGAACTGACCAACTGACCGAAGCGACGAAGATATTGGCACCGGCACCAGTGGAGGTCTAACACATCACCGTACGCTACTAGGGGATGTCGTACCTCTCGTGTTCCTTCCTTCCAACCCTCTGACAGTGCCACACCGCACTGAAACACCGCCACGCAGCTTCCAACGGAATTCGTTTCGGGTTGCGCGCACCGATGACTTGAAAGGCGAAGCATGGCGAAGCAACTGAAAATTCCACGTTTAGCACCTGAACACCTGTTCTTTCTACCAAAGCTGGTGAAACTCCAGGCTATGTCTCCACATCCATTTCTCCAAGTGACAGCTGATTTAGGTCCTGGAGAAGGGTCGGGGGTCCACGTTCAGCACAGCGAACAAAGGGGAGAACGGCTCTTTATCCACCGTTTTGAAGGACGTCATTTTCAATCTGGCTATATCCGATATCCGAAAACCGAGGAGATGGCACCAGAAACTGCCCAAAACGCACCCCGGAAAACCCTGATTAAAAAAATAACACATACCGCGAGGTACTTTCTTGAAGTCGATGAAACATGGAGCTTGGTGAAATTTTCCAGGGGGAGCTGCAAGATGCGGTTTTGGAAGGTGGACAAATCTCACCCAACGACGCAAAACACACAGGTGCTCAGTCCGGAGCGGGCGCCGATGCGTGGCCCACCATTGATTTCACAGCCTTTTCTTCTCATCCCCAACAAACACTACTGTACATTGTTTTTAAATGAATTCTACACGACAAAACCAGGTCTTTTCATTTTTAAACATGGGTGATCATGGGTGTGTATCAAAAAGATGGTGACATGGAGACCCAAACCCATTTGGTTGGGTCTCTCCCTATTGAAATGCACATCCAACTGGTGAAGGCGGATGCTGCGTGTCCCACTGTCCGTCACCGCCCAGCCGGACACCGACGGCGTCGGAGGTTCCACGATGCTGGGCTCCCTTCGACGAACGAACGCGGTCCAAGTGACCGGTATGGGTCGGAAGAAAAGGGGTAGACCAGGAGCAGAGCCCAATATCTAGAACCTGATGGACCTCTTTTGATATGAACAAATTGAAACAAAGAACATGTTTTGGCTCCCAAACAGGGGTCAATCAGGTTCTAGGTTTAGTTGTCCATGTGTCTAGGGGTTGAAAGGTTGGGTATGAAAAAACCTTTGACCGGGGGACCTTGATTGACCCCCGAACATGAACGGACTGCGAGGGAGGTGAAGCAACGGCTTGGTTGCGAGAGGTTTTGACCCACGGCCATTTGACCTCAGGTGCCACAGGGAACATAAAGGCATCACCTGAAGTTCCCAAGAGGTCGTCAACCTCCGACACCTGGTAACCTTTGCTCCAGGTCAGTAAGTTGGGAATCGCCCTGTGTTCCAGGGCTGTCAGGAAGCCAAGTCGTTTGTATCAAACACAAAGCAAAACCATGCAAAAAGAGCTTGAGTGTGCTCTCATCCAGAAGTCGTTGTGTTTTTCTGTTCCGATTTTCGGTTGCGTTCTGGATCACGACGCCGAGACGCCGACATTCATCGTGTTCCAAGCGAACACAACACACGTCGACATTCTTCCACACGAAACCACACACGCTACGCTTCACGAGTCCTCGCGCTGCCAGGTTTGTGGATTGGCCAAAAAGCAGCACCACATGGAGAGCGCTTCATCTTGCCAATGGTTCAAGACCTGCCAAGGCCAGCTGATAGGTCTTGCAGCTCGCATGATAGAAACTTTCACTGGCCATCTGATTGCTTCGATGCTTTCCTTCCAGCCCAAAGCTACCCGGGGCTTCTGCTGAGTTGGTGCACAAAAGACTTCCGACGCACATGGACTTCCGTCTCTTTCTTGTCCCTGGTAGCAACAAATTCACATGGATTCACTGGTCTCTGGCGTCTGAAGAAAGACCACTCGACCGCTGGTGTCTCGTTTTCGGTGTCCTTGCGGCTGAACTCGTAGACGCCTTCCTTCCAGGAGTGAGTGACCTCAGAAATCGGGAGATCTAGTCGAAAGTCAGTGCAGGATCTCTGTGAACACAGCGTGATCGCTTGAAAACAATCTCACTGGGATATGGGTTGGGTCTATCCTACTACCGTAACTACCCATAACAGCGGATGATGATGATTTACATGTAAAGGCCTTGTTCATCCTTGTTCAAAAGTGTGATCATTGTTTACCGACTGTTAGAGGCAATAGAACAAACTTGGATGGGAATCAAGTTCCTCCCGAGCATGTCTCTCCAAACCATCAACCCTTGGCCTCATCTGACAGATCCGAAGGGAGAGAGAGGACGAGAAAAGAAGAGGGACAAAAGAACATATGAAGAACCCAGGATCTTTGTGAGACACACGTCTTTGATCTTACACGGGCTTCTAATTCATGGTTAAAAAAATACTATAAGCACCGTATAGCACCGTAATGAAGCACTCTCCACACACCACCAGCTTCTCCGACTTCATCCATCCTCCCTCCCATCCTTCCGTGCCCGCGCGACGAAGAAGAACTCTCCGGAGAGGCCTTCGGGGCTCAACATCAACGCCTCAGCGGCGGTCCGCGTCCGGACTCTGCTGGTCGCCGGGACCGCAGCACCGGCCACGGCCGAGGTCCCGGTGCAAGTTACGACACATCCAGGTGACGTGTGGTGTCGTGTTGGATGATGTTGGACCACGTGGAAACATTAGGTGTTGGTCTTCCCATAATTAGAATGATTTTCAGGACATGTGGTCATTTTAGGGGGTGGTGATCTATTAAAGTCACCAGCTCCGCTTTGGTTTGGGGGGTTGGACTCACACCCATCCCGTTTTCTGTTCATCTCAAGTTTGTACAGTAACCTGCATGAAAATGGGTGAAACCGCTTGGTTTTGTTCTGTAACAGTCGTCTCACACCCATTTTCTGCATGAAAACTGGTTTCATGGAGGACGTGGCAAGTTTTGACCTGTTGCACAACTCTGCGACCATGTGGTGGCTCATGACAGGTTTCTCGCATGGGTATTCATGAGATGGGCATAACCTCCTCTCCCATGTTCCTAGGTCCTAGGTCTTCTGAATGCCGGTAGGGGCCAGCTTGCTGCGACAATGTGGTTTGGTACATTTGGGTGAGCCATGGTCAGCCGAGAAGAGCACAAAGGCGTTCAGTTTTTCCTTGCGCTTTCAGGTGTAGGGATGTGTAGGGTGTGAGTCGATGTCTATAAGTCAACAGAGTGTTTGACGTTTTTGTGCAAAAAACATCACTCTGAAGGAAGGTTCCACTTGACCCACGATGGTGCAGCCTGATCTTATCAAGAATCAGAAAGAATATGACAGAATATATTTCCACTGGGTGGCCTTCCGCTGGCCTTTCTAAACACCAAGTTTTCGCTATCACCATGCTTGCAAGTGGACTCAAGGGCTCTCAACACGGAAACTTCTCTACAATGCCCTCAATGAAACAGCCTTAGATGCCCCACAGCAAAGGGGTCCGATCATGCAACACACGTAGCAGTTCCATAATCTTGCTCACTGACCCTCCACTGCGATTGTTCTATTTGGTGTTAAAATTTGGAACAACTTTCTCCACAAATTGCAATAGTGGTCAAGCAAATTAACACTGCATACATGCCACACTCCTGGAAATTATTGGTCTTCCCAAAACCCTTTTCTTGTCCAACTGCATCTCCGCAGATTCCCTCTCTCCAAGCGACCCATGACATGCCACCGGCACGGGCGGTCCTAAGTTTAGCGGATCACTTTGGGTCACTTCACTCTGGAATATGCTTTCCTTATCATCCTTGGTCTTGCTGTCCAGGAACCGGGAACACATCTTCCCTAGAAGGGGATTTACTCGGAGAAGCAACAAAAGTATCTAAACACCAAACACAGTGAAGACGTCAACCTTTTTGGGGGGCGTGGCTGGACAAAAGGGAACCTCAACCAATTGGCGAGCAACCCCCGTAATTTACTGTAAAGTGGGGAAGAATGTCCAAATATATGTGCAAATCTTTCACCTCTCTGATCCTTCAGCAAAAGTAGGCCTGAATGGACAACCATATGCTTCCTGAAGACCAAACAGACCTTTCTGTTCATACCTAGGCTGTTTGCTGTTTGCGTGCATCAAACAAGTTTGCTGCCACCACTCTGCGCTTGAGAGACCTACACCCTGGAAGTCCAAGACCAAAGGACTCACATGGCCAAAACGGGTGATCCGAGTCCAAAAATTTCCTTTACTTCAGCTGGTGCCCCAAACGACGTCGTGAACCCTGGACTTCTAGCGTACAAACAAACGCACCCCTTCCCAGCAGACAAACAACGTCTAGCGGGAAGTCTAACCTCTGCGTCGCCCCAAACAAAAAGACACCCACAATGACCGTTCTCTCATCCGGCGGCTTACGGCCCGGGACTCGCGCGAACGACTCGCCCTGCCATCGCATTCGCCTCGCGCGAACTCGATGACTCGCACCAGCCTGGGTCGGATCACTGCTTCGTTCACGGCGTGCATGTTGGGCCCCACATGCTCGTCATCATGGAAAGGGTTGGGCTCCTGCGGCGAAGTGAGACTGAGCGGGGAAGAGGCAAGCTTGGTGAAGGGGACGAAGGACACGAAGGACGGAGCGTTTATTTTTTTGCCAGGGACCAGAGATCGAACTTGGTGGTTCACCATATTGGTTTGTATACCCTTTTTTAAATACACCAACTAATAGCGGGTTAGGTCGGGCTGCAGACTGGGGCATCCGATTTGGGTCCAGTGTCAAGCGATGACATGGGAAGGCGATTGACTAGTGTGATCTGTGTGAAGCAAAATAGGGCCGCTATATGCCGCTATAGTCAACCTCTGCGGTAGGTAAGGTGGTGGATGGTGGCAGGGTGTTTCAAGGTGTCTTCACTGACTTGAGCAGCACCTATCTACCTGAATCCTTCTGAATCTACCTCTTACTATCTGTTACTATCCATCTTCCTCTGAGAAACCTCCGACCTTCCCACTCTCAGGCCATCTCCAAGACCCACAACTCCCCCGGCCTTGGTGCGTGGGTTCGGCTGGTTCAGGATCCTGGCGGAGGAAAATCCCCAGAAGTCCATGCCGTCAGTTCCGGCCATGGTGTTGGATCTATTTTTTAATACTCGGGTTTGCCCACGGTGTTTTGCCACGGCCTGTAAGTTGGTTCAACATGAAATGAGCAATCAGGTGGATGTTCGTGTCCTTTTGACCGAAAATACTGGCACATTCTGTTTTCAGGCTGGCACCCGTTGGCACGGCAGTTCCAACAGTTCTTCGAGTCATCTTGCAGATCTCGTGGACATGTTGTTCGTACGCGTTTTCCCCGTACGTGAAAAGCATCTCGTGGTGTCGAGATGTTCCTGCTGTGTCCGAACGACAGAATTTCTATAGAAGGCAGGATGTTCAGACGTCGCAAAACGGGCCTAAACTCTAAACTTCCTCCGTGTGAGATGCCTATGGATCAGCACCTGTGAAAAGTCCATTCTGAGACAGGCAAATCTGTCTTTTCCTTCATTGAACTTCTATGAACTTCTAACATCTGATCAATACCAGCTTTTCTCACTTCATCTCACTTCATCTCACTTCATCTCACTTCTAACCAACCTACCAGCTGTTCACCCCTCCAACCTCCTTTCGCACCGAAAGGACCGATCGACTACAACGACCTCTCCGGGTCGCACCTGCCCGCGCGGTGGGTCTCCACGACCTCAGCCACAAAGTCCTGGAAGTCGCAGCCTTGGAATTGGCAAAGAAAAAACAGAAGGACCAATAGACCAGCTGCTTCCTGTCGGGGTGCCCTGTCTGAAGACCTACATAAGTAGTGTGGAGATCACTTACCATTGGTGACCCCGAACGGAAGCAGCTGGAATAGACCAGCTGCTTCCGTTCCGGGTCACCTGGCTGGACAAGCCTACCCTACATAAATAGGTCTCCTCTTTATTGGGCACCCAGACAGGAAGTGCTAGGTATGGACCAATTGGATCGTCAAATCTTGGACTTGGCCAAGTCTGTGGAGCAAGGAGATTCGAAAGGAAGTCGGGGCCTGCCTTTTTTGGTAAGATCGAGGTGTCTAGAATCATGTACGAGATTGGACCTTTGGAGTCCCCATATACGGTACGTGACCTGTTCCTAAGTGACTTAAGTGAAAAGACACATCTTATTGATTTTTGGAGTCCCCAAGTGACGTGACCTAGGCCTGTCCAGGCCTAAGTGACATCTAACCAATCAAAATAGGTCACTTTGAAGCACCAGGTGGACCATCCTGTTGGGTCTCCAATAGACCGCCTTGGACACCCCTTGAATGAGAAAGGATAGGCCATGGGAATGAGGTTGGACTGACGCGACGGACGAGCTGCATCCCAAGGCGGGTGCACATCATTTCAGGGATGGGGCGGCATCTCTTCCAGTAGGATGGGCATGTAGGTCGAACTGGTCGTGTCAAGTGTAGATCCAGCCAGGAACCAGGACAGATCCCGTTTTTCCACCCGAAAGAAGAAGCCGAGACGACCAAGCCGCGGCTGATGCACCAGCGACAGGGCGGCACCCGTTCATGGAGACCTGGGGGGAGCGGCTCCGCGAGCGTCGCGTTGGGTGGTCCGGGTATGCCCGGTGAGAGCAGGGGGTGGGTCGGAGGTAGATTTCATCAAGAGATCAAGAAGGTGGAGAAAGAACGGTTTTGGAGTTTTCCCATATTCCAACCTGCAAAGTTCCAACAGCACTTTAGGCAGAAGAGCTCCTTCTTCTGCAGCCAAAACCCCAACTCAACTCTCGAGCTTTGGCGCCGAGTGACGACGGCCCTCATGGTAAGGGCTCACATCCTCTCCGTCGTAGAGCCACCGGAACCTGAGTGCCACAGCCTCTCGGGCTGAACCGCCACCCCCGTGCGACGTGACGACGGGTGTTCTCCGGACGCCGTGAAGCTCCGAGACCACGCGGTTCCAAGACCAAACCGTAAACCGAACGAGGGCCCCTGATGACCTATACTACCTGGCAACCGATGTACGACAAAATCATACACAAACATCTTGGTTGACCTGGTCGAAACCGTAAAAACATGTAAAAATCATCTTTGCTGGTCTCCATCTGCGTGGCAGGAATCCCCCTTGAACAGGGCTATATATCATATGGTCTACCTTCACCATCATCCATCCCGAGGATAACGCTTCCACCCGGCAACAGCTCTGCGCTGTCCACAAGCCCTTCAGCGTCGACCAAATGCCGACACAGTTGGATAGCCTGGTGGCATCATGGTGGCGTCGTGACTGAAGTCAGACTGAACAAACAAAGAGCGATGGCCTCCACCCTAGTGGCAAGGGCCTCCAACCTAATAGCGATGGCCGAAAAACCCTAGTAGCAATGGCCTCCAACCTGAGAGCAATGGCAGAAGGTTGTTTCAGTCTGAGACTCTTCAGTCGTCTGAAAAACCGTCTGTCTGAAGGTTGTTTCAGTTGCATCGTCTGTCAAACGCCAGTGGAGAAGGTTCTTTAAAACTTCGTGCAAATCGCACAAATCTCCAGCAGTGCTTTCAGATCCAATCTTCAGAGTTGGTTGATGTTCAAAGCTCCTCTCCCTTTTTTCAGGTCGTAAAACTCCTGTGGTCAATGGCAGATCAAATCCTCGACTAAACAAAACTGACTTGAGAATCCTGTTTGGTTGGTCGAAGAACTCAGCAAAACTGCACCAGTCCAACCCCTCCTTCCAGCTTCTTCCACACGTCTGACACCCAATGCGCTTCTGACACCATCATCGAGTCTGACACCCATGCGCTATGCGCTGATATTTTTCACCTACACAACACCGTTCCACTGCACCATTTATTCGCTAGGGGCTCCTGGCCGTACTACTAGGAGCAAGGACGCTACTAGGGGCTCCTGGCCGTACTACTAGGAACAAGAAGCTACTATTGGACCTTTCATTCCTTTTCTTTTATCTTTGTTTCTACTAGCGGTGATTTTGTCTGATCTTTTTCACCGTTCCACGTACTACACGTTCCACTGTTCCACTGCACCATTGATTCGTCCACCATCGGGATCAGGCCGCTCTCGAAAAAAACCTCCTAACAGCGACCGAGTCCGAGTCCTAAGGTCCCGGGAACTGACTGCAGTCGGATGGAACCCTCTCGGGCTCCCGGGTGGAGGATATCTGGTTTCAGCGGTTTCAAACAAAACATATTCGTCAGTGAGTTCAAGCATGTAGGAACAAGGGCATCGCTGCTACGAACGGAGCGATCGGACGCTACAAACGTAGCTCCTGGCCTTACTAGGAACAAGGTTCGCTACGAACGGAACATGTTGGGCATCGCGACGCCCACACGAACGGAGCAACCGTCTAAAGAATTGAGCGGTGGGAGACGGGTTTTGGTCGCCTTGGGCTTTACCTCCAACTTTAAGAAGAGCTCCTCCAAACGACCTGGGACGACGTCCACCCGACGTCACGTGCCGGGGGGCAGACGGGCGATTCGGGGCGGCCGATCCAGGGGGTGAAGCCTTACCGATGATGGCAAAATGGGATGAGGAACAAGAGTGTCACAATAGGTTTCTTCTTACCTGCCTTTAGACTATAAAATGCATAGTAGCATGGACATTTGAAGATCTTTGTGGAATGGACTTTTACGATCAAGACGTTGTGACCTGAAAACTAAAAATATTGGAACAAAAAAAGCAAGAGGTCTCCTCACTCCTCTAGTCCCCTTCCTTTAATCCCCTTTCGGTCAAGTTGGCGCGGAGCTCGACACCAAGAGGCTCCAGGGCACCAGTCCGTCACTGCTCAGCGACAGCTCTTCGAAGGCCATGCGCACCTTCACCGCCAGCGCGGCCGCCATGGCGGCCCGGCGGCCGGGCGCGGCGCCCGTGCCGCGCCGTCGGCGGTTTCTGGTGGAGCCGGAGCCGGCGGCGAAACCAGGCACCGTGCTCCGCCCGCGCGGAACGAGTGGAGGTCGGGACGTCGGCGTTCCGAACGGTTTGGGGAACGAGTGTGGATGGCGATGGTGAAGAGGAGTGGTGCTGAAGACCCCAAAGAAAGAGATGGTACATAGAGTCCTAAGATGCTAAATCAAGGGGCTGCAGGGAATATAGGTATTCTATTGCTTCCTCGTGCTTTGGCTGTTAGCAACAACTAGGTCACACTAAAGGAGAGAGAACACTTATATACAAACCCATAACAAGGTTCAAGAGTGTGCAGTTCATCCAACCCCAGTAGGAAACAGGGTCTCTTTTTCATGTTGAAACCGTTGAACCATGTTGAAAAATGAAGGATCTTGATGGTGAGATCCCACATCTTACATCATCTTGTCACCCCATTCTTCCATGTTGTTTTGCCCAATTGCCAATGCCCTCTTCCGCGATCCATGGTTTTTGCCGGATCTAACCCAGGTTCATCTGGGTAGGTGGACCTGTTCGGTCGTCCATTCTGTTCATGCTTGGCAGTCAACCAGGTTTCCCAGGTTTGGACCAAAAGCCCAAATCACCAGCACCAAATGAGCCTCAAATCACCAGGAAGCAAAAAGGTGGCCCTCCAAAACATCACCCCCCTTTTGCACAGGCAAAAGATAAAATATATTAGGAATCTCCCAACCACGTGAACCAGTCACAAAATGGCCCATAGATCCATAGAGGTATATTTATACCCGCAAACAAAGGAGTGTTTCCAGCCTGTGGTCCTTTACCTACCTTTCAACTCTGCCATCCAAACACCGTCCCATCGGGTGTCGGTCTGGGTGTCCAAACAGTGTCTGCCCTGAAGCTGCGAAAGCCGGGTGAACAAGCCGGGTGAGCTGTGGAATTTGGCGATGACGAAAAGAGAACGGCTGAACCAAGAATCACATGTCGGAGTGGTTTTTAGTCCCATCCAGTGAGTGGATGTTCTGGGCACCCCCATCCTCCAATAGGCACCTCGTTGTAAGAACTGCTAAAGAGGCAATTCGGTGGCTTCTCTGGTGGCCTGCAAGATAAAATATTTCGAAGGCCCTCCCAGGGGTGGAATACCTAAACCGTCGTGAAAAACAGATCGTTGACAACTATCTGATCCTTGCATTTGAGGGTAAAAAGACTGAAGACTGTTGAAACTGAGGCTCTTAAACAGTAGGACCATGAGAAGAACAACGAGTGGACGAGAAAAGGACTTCCGAACGTCTTGGATAAGCTGATCGGTTCTTTTTCAGAGTGCAAAGCAGCACTCAAACAGCTATGCTCCTTTAAGTTCTGTGAAAGGAACAGCTCAAAGTCTGTGGCACAGAAATTCACAAAGCAAACTGAAGATCTCAGAAATGACACTCACTGTGACTGGACCGCTGGTGATCACGGACCTGCCGACTGAGACAATTCCCCCGTTGAGATTCCCTCAAAAGCTGAAAATCTTCAGCACAGAAAGCGGCAACCCAAAAGAAACATGAGGGGATGTGTCAACCAGTAACAGGTGCCTTACTAGTAGTAACAAGGTTCGCTACTAGTAACAAGTGCATCGCTAGCTAGTAACAAGGGCCTTACTACTAGGAGCAAGAAGCAACTGACTAGTGATCCGGACTCTCTGGTCACAGATCCAAAAGCTTCATCACCCACCGCACTCCCCTACCCACAGGTCCACGATCGCAAAACCACCGGCTCCGTCCGGTGTCCTGTGGCTCGCAGAGCAGGACCTGCAGGTCCTCCGATTGGTGCCTTCACGAGCGCGGAGCTGAAGGTGTCGGGTCCGATCGGCACAGAAGGAAAACGATCTGGCACAGCACAGCTCTTCGGATTGCATTGTGTTTGATCAGCTTAATTCGTTAGAACTTTATTCTGTGATTCATGTTGAGTCTCTTCTTTTTAAGCAGAGACCACCAGATGAGACCAGAGATGTGCAAAACATCTCACTTCAGCATCTGCTGTGTGCCCAAAAAATCTGCCAGAATTAGCAGTATATTAATACTATATTTTGACCCTCTTAAGACTAAAAACGGTTTAAAAAGTGGTTGACAAGGCTTTGGTGTTAAAATCCATAAAACAGCTCGGTGGTTCGGGATTCGCCGGCTACTATGGGGTGGGCCACGAATCCAACGCCGGGAGTTCTTCGCAAATCGAGCCTGGCGATCGGACGCACCACTTGGGAAGCTGTGGGGCTCGACTCCGGGTCCAAGGGATCTCCTGTTTGGTTGAACGAAGGTCTCTCTTTCACCGGCGACACGACCGGGTCGCGCGCCCACGGGCCTGGTGATCTCCTTCAAGATCTGGACCTGAAAACAGGATGACGATCCTTCAAAGGTGATTCTCAGGATATTCTATATGAGGCAGGACCAAATCGCAAAGACATCGGATAAGGTGTCACAGATCGGAAAAAAAAAGAGCGATCGCATCTTCTTGTGATCCTGTTTTGTTACAGCTCTTCTGTGCTCCACCAAAAAAAGATAATATCGTATCCCTCTCGCAAAAAAAAAGAACCTTGGAGCTCTTCATTTTCAAACAGTGTCACAGCAGCACTCATCTGTTGTCACAGCAGTTCTCGATCTGGTCCCCTTAAAAACCTATAACCAGCCCCTCACGCGTCTCCCCTCATGCGGTTGCCGGCACCTGTTTCCAGAGGCACTCGTAAGAATCCTCCAACCTCAGGAGCTTCTCCCGTGCCGTCCCGTGGCGGCAAGAGGAGCCCGGGGGCGGCGGCCCTCAGGATGAAATGAAGTTCAGGTGGAAACCGGATAACATTCCGACTATGTGGGATTACCCTTTTCTCCTGCCAGGGTGATCCGAAGTCAACAAGCCAAAAACCTTGAACTATAAGTGAACCCTAGAAGTCGAACCATCATTGTTTTAATAGCCTAAATCCCGAACAACCCTTGTTTCACTAAGGGTTTTACACCAAAACCAGATCGTTCTCATTTTCAACATGGTCGACTTGACACACCTGCTTCCGTTCGGGGTCACCTGGCTGGTGTCTATATCTCCACACTACGTAAACAGGTCTTCATCCGGTGACCCCGACCGAAGAAGCGCGCTTCTCGGCATCCTTCGGCACCCCTCGGTCTGGTGCCGGACGCTCCGGACGCGACGCTCTTCGCTCCGGGCCGCGTCGGGCCGTGTATGGCTGATCCATCCTCTTCGAAACGAAACAAACCAACACCGTGACTCGCTCGCGAAACGCCGGTGACCGTGGCTCTGGTCGAAACGAATGCCAGTGCCGGTCTTGTCCTATGAAGAGGTCAGGTCCAATCATCGAGCACAGCTGCCAAAACAAACACAGCTGCCAAAGACATGGGACCATATCGATCAAACTGGATGTCACCCAAATCCGATGTCTTCGGCCGGCTAAAGCCGAAGAGAACCCGCGAATGTGTCAGGCGGCCGCCATCAGGCACGGCGTTCCGCAGGCGCTGCCTTTTTCGTTGGGCGCGGGCGTCGCTTCCGCCGGCGCGAAGCTTCACAGCTCGGGCGCCAGGTTCTCGGGCTTCATCGCCAAGCGCCGGGCCTGGCGGAAGGAGGCCGGGGCAAAGGTGTCGTTGAAAGCGGTGTCCAAGCGGTGTCGACCAAGGGTGTGTTCTACAAGTGACATGACGGTGAACTTAAGACTTAAGCTGCAGTTGGTCAAAAAGGTCAAACACTCCTGAACACCTCGAGAAAACACTTATAAATGCTTTTGAGGGGCAATAAAAACCGCTGCGTGCGTTCCCTGGAGGCTTCAATATCAACACGACTCGGTGTTGGGTCCACGAATCAACGCTTCTCCAACCCCAAATGGAGATGGTTTAGTGTAAACCTAGAGAGGTTGAACAGCCCCATTGCCCATCCCATATGTACCACTACAGGGTCCTAGTTCAGGTCTCTCAACCTCTCTTGGAATCCCTCCCCAAAAGAGCTCGGAGGATTCTTCCTGCATTCCAAGCATTGGCCACCGAATTGGCCACCGAATCCGACCGAACCAAAGCATTGAACAATGCCTTTTTCTCGAGAACTGAGACGGACGAACACCAGTTCGGACGGACGAAGACCAAAGCGGTGGTGGGTTGAAAGAATTGCGTGCCAAACACATTGGCTCTATACGTGATAACTCCCTTAAGGATAATATAAACTAGCACCACGGAAAGGGTGTCCGTCAAGCCCCTTAGAGGTCAAGGGATGTCCGTTGATAAACCATCCTGGAATATGTAGTCAGTATATTTACCACGGTTTGTAGGTGGTTTAGATATAGTTCTTTGAGGCATCCTTATAACTATAGCGACCCCTCAAACCACTTCAACGTAAACAGGTCAACATGCCAGTCCCATCGGTCGTCTTTGAGTCAGCTGACTCATCACTTGCTTACACCCGGGAAAAAAGACACTGCCCTTCCTAGACCATCCGGATACTATGGGTCATACAAGGTCCACCTGTTCCAGTCCGATGGATGGTCTGGTTGTTTTTTTTGCGTTCGCACTGAGTCTCCCGCCGCCCCGTCGCCTTGGTCGAATCGGTTTCGAAACAGGTGACGGCTTACGCAGCGAGACGTAAGTGTGAGGAACGCAGTGGTTGGCGACCTGGTGAACGAACCCTTGTTGGCTGATGGAGCAATATTGGAATCGAAACTTCGAAGGTGCTTGGTTTCCAGAGACGATCCCCTTCCCAAAATGTCAAATTTGGATCGTCTGTTGACAAACAAGCACCCTACGGAAAGTACCAATTGCAGAGTCTCTGCTCCAAAATTGCAAAATATCAAACAGTTCAAATCCAAGATGGAATTGGTTCATCTTCCACTTAATGTTTTTCAAGAAGGGTCTCGATCGCTGCCTTCGGTTCTTTTTTTTGAACCCTCGCAACTCCGCACGTTTAACTCAAAAAACATGTTTGTCAAGTCTTGTTTAAAGTACAATGGGATGATGTGTGTGTGTGTGATGTGGTGATTTGTGATGTGGTGCACTGCAAAGCAATGCTATATATAAATATAACTATATATTATATATATGTAGCTGGGTTTGTTAAGGGGGAAGGCTCTGGTGGTGAAATGGTGACCACTTGGTGAAATGCACTCTTCCTCTTTTGTGTGCTCTTGTGCCCTGTATACTTAATTTTTTATCTCTTTTCTAATATGGAACGTTCACTTTCCATGCTTGTTTCCGAAAACTTTCACTTTCCGGCGTTCTTCTCTAGAAAAAGTGAACGTGCCAAGTTAGATGCGTCAATTCCTTTCTTCTGTGCGGTTGTTTTTCTTTGCGCCTTTGCGCCGTCCTTTGGCATTCGAACCCTGGCGGGACCCCACTGTGTTAGTGGGGGGCGTGAACGCCAGTGACTGGGTAGCTGGTGCCTCTACCTCGCTCTCTTTTTTCCCCTGCTCTACCTGTCAGCTATTACGCGGCCAGGCAAGGCCAAATGCCACAGCGGCAACATCACGGCAGCCAACCACCACCACAGGAAGGGCCACACGAGACAGGCACCGCCCTCCACCCATCCCACTCACACAGCATGCGCTAATTGACACAGCTGCCGCTGCCGGCAAATACACAACGACTTGCACCCGCTCTTCCTGCCAAGTAACGTCAGCCCTTTGCATAGATGCTGTCTGGTAATACGCGGCTTGCTGATTGCTCAGTGGGAAGCAGAAGTTGCTCTGCCCAAGAAGTGCAAAACACATGGAGCGCGCATGCAGAGCCGAGCAAGCAGGGCAGTCGCGACCAAAGGATTCTCACCGCCTCCCAGTGGCAAGTAGGACGCGAATCGGAATTCCTAGTGCAACTCAGCACGCAGCTTGAAGTTACTTAGTCAGCCAAAAACTATTCTCCACATCCATGACTATCCAACAGACCTGGTTTTCTGCTGCATGTCAGCGAAGTCATCCTGATTGTTCGACAGATTTCAAAGCCGTGCAAATGAGCGCTGCAACGTCGTCGATACCTTCGCGTCAGCCCTTGAGCTCAACGTTAAAAGGGCCATCCCGCGAATCGGTTGAATCACTTGATGTTAGCAAGGACACCGAAAACCACAGGGACCAGCGACTAATGGATAAAAGGAGCTTTGATGAACCTGACATCAGCAGGTTTAATTAGGGTCGTTCAAGTAAACATAGATGCCTAAAGTATCTTGGCTCCACTTTTGGATAACATGTTTCAAGGTGTGTTGGTAAAAACATCTTGGTCGCACGCAGCACTTTTGAGCAAAGCTACCGGTTGCCCCGGCGAAGATATATATATATATATGTGTGTTTTTATTTATACACCCTGATCCCACAATTGCATTGTTGATAGAGCTGTTTGCATGATATGTTTCCGGAAATCAGCTTTCAGCGAACAAAGTTGTCTTGGAGCATGACCACCATGGCAGATTGATCAGCCAGTGTGGCCCCACCCAGTGTTATGTACACGAATTCTATACGTAGTCAGGTTGTGTTTCGCAGAATGCATGGTGTTGCCTGTCTATCCTCAGCCACCCCCAAACATCCCCAATCCCCTTGAAAAGCAGCTTTCAGATCCCCCGTGGACAGTCCTGGACCCTGAACTGGACCCTGGTAGACCCCACTGGCGCGACGGTGAGTGACTGGCGGAGAGTGTAAATCAACAGCTCGTGGCTAAGCTCGTTGCTCGGTATCCAATCTTGAAAATCCTACTCCCTGTGATCGTGTGAGCGTGAAGATGACAAGAACACCAAACAGACTAGCTTGGAATATGTTGGAATGATGAAAATAGATGATTTTCTGTCTTGAGGCCCCTGAATCTTTCACAGTCGAATGGAGACTGGTACCGAACCTCCGCTTAAACGGGAAGCGAAAGGTTCAGTACCGCGATTCCGACCAAAGGGAAAAGACGTGGGCCTTCACCAAAGCAGATGTCAGAAGCAGAAAACGACATGGTGTGTGTGTGTGTGTGAAAACATGCGTGGATGGTGAGTGTGTGGAATGAAAAACCTGCGCTTTGAAATTCTTTCCTCGGTCTAGCAGCGCGCCCTCACTTAGACTGGTCAAAAAGTTGACCCATTGCTCCAAGGCAGTTCTGCAACTCCATGCCAGTGTCGCACAAGAGGATCCCCAGCACGGATCGTGTCGCCCGAAACATACTTCCGGAGCAAATCTTGCTTGGATCGGGTCGAAAGTTCGCTCTGCATCCAAAAGCCCAAACAAGCGTTAAAAGGTACTTCTCGTCTTCATGACTCAAGTACCAGCCTCCACCTTCAACCCAAACCAGCCCCAAAAAAGAAGAAGAACCATCACATCTTTCATCCATCCAACCTTCAGACCTCATGCTCAGTCATGCTCATTGCTCCCAACCAAAAACCTTGTTGTCCCGGACGGTCAGGAACTCTCAACTCCCATCCATCCAACCGTTCACTTCAGTGGACACCGTCCCTCCTCCCGTCCCTCCCAGCGCTGCAACTCGGGCACTGAGCAAGTCCACCTCCCAGCGTCCCTCGCTCGGCTCCTGGCCGCGCGCGCTCGTTGGCTCGGTCGAATGCTCCGTTCGCCCGTGGCAGCGGACACTCCGAACGAGACCGGAGTGGATAACGGTGAGGCGACCGGTGACCGGAGGCGTGGATTCGGAAAGGCTTTCGGTGTGTTGGCTGGTCACGAACCGGTGACGGACCGGTGATCACGGGGAACTGCAGTCGGTCGGTCATCATTCTTGCCCGATCCACGGACTACTTCCTGGGTGGGGTCAGGTTTCGCAGGTGATCCATGGACTGAACCGGGGTAGGTCACGGCAGACGTGGAATTTTGAGCTGCATGCGGCCCTGCGCACGGTCCGCTCGACGGTCCAGTGTCTACGCGCCTCGGAGACGACACGCGCCCACTCGGCGTTGAGCTCCGGTTTGCTCTTGAGGCCATGCCTTGATCAGGAAGAAGGAAACAAAGGCCAAGGAGGAAAAGAGAGGGAAGCAGAAGCACATGGAGCTTTTTGTTGGAGGTGATGAGTCCTCTTTCTTGCTACCCCCCCCCCACAGACTAACTTGGACCCTGAAAATTGACCCATGGGTTAGAGTTAGAGCATCTTCCGAATACCAACCCAGTGGTTTTGGGCATTGTACGAGAAAAAAAAGGAGTTATATACGTAACGTCGCACCTGTTCTGCTTGAAGTCACATGGATTCCGCAATACGCGGGGACGCTGCAAAGGGCGGTGAAGTGAGTCACATCGGGTCGATCTATAGAACTGCATGGGCTGCAGGAACTGCACACGTGAAGGGATGCAACTTTTGTCAAGTTGATGGTGAAAAACCGAGGATGCTTGTAAGACAGCTGTATTTGATATCACAGGCATGCAAATCACAATGGGTGCGCGAACTGTTCAGGGAGTCAAACTTTGATCACCAACATTGAAAATCAATGAGGATGCCTGCTTTAAAAGATGCAGTGGCTGATGAAGAGAACTGTGAAATCACAAGGGCACGCGAGCATGTTCAGGGACCGACACGTTGACCAGGCCTAATGTCGCTCAACTGCTCAACAGCAAAAGTCCACACGTCTCCGAGCGACCAAACAGGGCGACCGAGACCCCCTGGACAAAAGATGGCTTTCAAAAAACTGCTAAAGAACCGACAATTACGGCAGCATAAACACCACATGGCAAAAATAATGCAAAAGATAGTTGCAGGCAGCAGCACCCTCGAGCATAGAGTACAGAAGAAATGGCTTCAAACTGAGAACGCAGGCTGGGACGCTGAAACAAGTCAAAAAGCCAACAAAACCCTGTCACAAAGTCAGCCAAAAAGGAAGCAGAACATGCCCCACCGCAAGGGAGACGCTCAAACGATACGACTTAAAACAAGAAAAGACGACTTAATTCAACAAACCTGTAGGTCAAAAAACGCATGAACTTACTGTTCCCAAGAATTTGTGGCTCCTCAAAGAATCGTTTTTTGATGTGCTTGAGGTGGAGTAAAAATTGATCATGGCAGGAAAAGCTGCATGTTGAATTGCGTACTTATAGTGTCATACCCTCACTGTTGGAACTTTGTGCGCTATGACCTCCCAAATGCCCTTAGGTAGGAGTTCAAATAGTCCAATGTGCAAGATCCACCAGACAATGATACATTGAACCGATTGAACAAGAATGCAAAAGACGGTCAAAGTCTGTTTTGCTGATCTTCAAGTACTTGGACTTGAAAGGTATTGCTGTCCAGGAGTTCCGGGAAAGAACCAGTACAGTCTTCCTCCAGGAACCCGGGGATTCACTCAGGAGAAACAAATCCACCCGAGATCTCTGCCCCAAAGCCCCTCCGCCGAGGTGCAACATCACCACCTCGCTGCGTGCGTGCTCGGTGCGCCAGTTTGCGCGCGCGGTGTGTTTGGACGCCAGGTGCAACGGCCCGGAGGGGGATGGGGCGAAAGGGTGGGACCCTGAACGTGTCCTGAGTCCGAAAGGGTCAGACTCTGAGCTGTGTCATTCTGAATCAGTTCGAACTCATGTGAAACATTGTGAAACCTGTGCACATGAAGAACTGTAACACTCTGCCTGGTAAAGCACACGGCACGGCCTTGTTGCTATTAAAACTCCACCCTCTAAGAACCAGCAACTCAGCATGTTTTGAGCAGATATGAGCCAGTGCACTTTCCGCTCCACATCGACATGACTTGAGCGTGGTGGCAGCGCCGAGAGTGCCCACGATGTAACTTAAGTCATTGAGGAATCAAACGCTTGACCATCGTTGACCTAACTTCGTACCACTTTGCCCGACTGCCCGACGTCGGAGTTGGTCGCTGTTCGGTCTTGGAGTTGGGAACTCCTTCGTTCGAGATTCGAGAACACTTCATAGGAGTCCGATTCCAACCACCGGGTTGCCCCCCTCCGCTGTTCCAAGTGGCGAGTCCCGGCTTCAACAGGTGTTCCAACGAGCCCTGCGCCGACACCTCGCGGTGCAAAGGCGCACGCGCCCCAGTGTACGACCGGCGATGTAGGCTGTATCGATGCAAAGGTCAAGCTTGGATTTTGCTTAAGGAACTAAGGAACTGGAGGAAAACATAACAAACATATTCCCCAGAAGGGGATTCAAAATAAAAAAATCCGTTGTGAGAACCACCGCCGTTTCCCAGCCCCACAAGGAACTGCCTTCTTGGTCAACCGAGAACATCCATGGCCATCCCTGTCCGAAATCCGGAGATCATGTTCGGCTCAACACCAGTTCAACGGATCAATAGACCTCCAAATAGAACTGATAGGACAAGTAAAAATCCCTTTCAATCTGGGAAAAAGCACCCTAAGCCTATAGGCCGCCTAGGCCGCCTAGGCCGGTGACCGGATCCCCGTTCCCACAGCGGAGCGGCGGCTCGTTGGCGCTCTCCACTCGCCTCGAGGCCTTTCTGGCCGGGTCGAACCTGCACGGGTCCTCGAGCCGAACGACGCATCCGACGGAGGTGGACGAGATCCGCAGGAGATCCGGGTGGATCGTTTACGTCCAAGGAGGACAGGGGTGGATTGAGTAGCGTTCGGACGCATTTTTGGGTGGAGGCCAGCGCTCTTTCGGTGGGAGGCCATCATTCGGAATTTGGGGAGAAGCGGAGCAGCGGCTTGGGGTGTGGTCACAAAGCAGCATGGTCGGGGGAGAAGCACAGGAGCAGCGGGGTGGGGTGTCCAAAAGTCCAAAAGCTGCTTTGCCATGGCTTCGGTTGACAAATGTTCTTGGATTTGCTGCAGGCACCGGGAAAAGAACACATATTGCCAGAAAGGGGCTTCGCCCAGCTTGGGAAAGTATACATCACCCAGGTGTTGAACAAGTTGAACAAATGGTTTCACTGCACTGCAAGCCACCAAGTGAGGGGAGAACTTCTACCCATCCAAAGCTCAGTGATGAGAGGATCACCACAATGATGGTAGGATCATGTTGGGATGAACTTCTACGGTGAAAGCGCGAGTCATGTCATTTCGAGCCATTTCGGACTAGACTGTGCGGACTAAGATTGGGTCGCATGAGCACACAGGCAGCACAGTCTGGTCACACCATGTCTGGGTCGCTTGAAACATCACCCTGAACTAGGCACTGAACACCCACGACAGGAACTAGGCACCAACATAAACGCCCAGGGCACCAACATAACCGGTCCTTTCTCTCTCGTCCAAAGCACCAGTTGCTTAAACTCCCACAACTGTTCAAAAAAGAAATCCAAATCAATCCATGTTGAATTCAACACACCATGCATTGAACCCTCCATGAATCATATAGAATATGACCTGTCCCATCCTTTTGGAACCCACGATTCACCTCCTGGACGTCGTGGGTTCCAACGTGTGGGGTGGTCAGCCATGGTGACGCCATGGCTAGAAACACCACACCCCCAAGACCCAGCCGGACCCAGCCGGTCCTTGTTGCATGCAGAAGCTTTTGGAGAACTCCACCGAGACACCTCACCGGGAGAAGAGACACCGAGACACCGAGATCTCCGAGATCACCGAGACACGAGGGGAACGGCGACGCCTTTGTGGAACACCTGAGACGTCGAAAACCGAAGGAACGCATGGTACGCTGTCATGGTACTGTCGTTCTTCGTTGGGTTTGGCGTACGCTGTCAGTGGGGGTGAAGTGGTGCAAGAGGTGGAGTTGCTAGGTAGAACATGCGAAAAACCTTGAAAGGCCCTTAAAAGAATGGTTGATCTGGTTCTGTAGTCTATATTCCTATAGTAAAACTTTTGGTTGTTCCGCTGACATGTTCATCTGGTCGCAGTCTGAAGTTGGGAAAATTTCGATATCTATGTTCCATCTACGCCTAGTAGTGAGTCACCCCAAGCTGCGTAACTGGCCGTCGCAGTCTGAAGTGTCCAATGAACATTTCAGTCAGAGGCTCATTGTCATACTCCTAAAAAATGAGATTCCACAGCAAACCCGTCCGTCTTTTTGGAACGCAGACTTTCAGCATACAGTGAATACAGTGCATGCAGAAGAACTTTTATATAAATATATCTTTTTGTCCATTCCCTTCATCCAGATCATCATATGGGTGTGTAGCTCAAATAGACCCTGAAACGAAGGGAGATACACCAGTCTACCGACTGGGCCACAGGTTCTCAATTCAAATTCAAAACACCTAATATCACCTAATAGCGATGGCCTCCAACCTAATATTGATTTGCCGACGTGGATGACGACCGTCCCTACTTGTCAACACATTCGATCTGCTCAGGTGCCCGAACTGTCACCACCTGCAGTTTGGGGCCACCGACGCCCCGGAACGCGGATGGCATACGCCACATCTGGGCATTCTGAACCGTGGTTTTATGCGAAGAAATATTATCATGGCAGTCTTCTACATGAAAACACACAATCTGAATCTCTTTTTGTTGCATGTCAAACCAATGATTTAATTCACATTCTGCCCGAGAAGCTGGGGCTGTGTTGATTCGCAACCTGCTTTCCTATGGTGTCGCAGGGCAGCGCAGGGCAATGAGCTTTCAGGGTCACCTTGGGCAAGGTTCAATCATGTTCTGATTTGGCGCAAAATAAAAAGCATGTGCATGATAGGAGCAAGAAGCTACTAGGGGCTCCTGGCCTTACTACTAGGAGCAAGGACACCCACGTGGATCTTTCGCAGGGTAACACGGATAGATGCAAGGACTCCTTTTCGTTGAAAATTGGGAGCACTTACTTCCTAATGATCCTAATGAATGAAAAGGATATATATATATATATAGTCGGATAGATGCAGAACCCTCTTCAACATGGCAACTCGCAGGCCGTTGATTTCCAATCGTGGCACGGCCAACCAGGCTTTGCTTCGGGTGTTCGTGAACAATTCTCAGTGTTGTTTGCCAAAAAAGAACTTCTGGTGGAAACACCGGAAGATATCGGATGTCTCTTCTTAATTGCCATTTAGACCATGAGTGTGCCACCCACACCATCGCCAGCGCCGCCTCTGGACCGCACAATGCCCTTCATTCCGTGGCACGGCGAGGACCTGATGAGGTTCTCGAAAATTGGGGTTTTGGGGTTCTGACCCTTCAACGATGACGCTTAATCCTTCTAAATGCTAGCTCGCCACGTCTGTCAGACATTACAAACGCAGGCCAACGAACAGCGAAACGGACAATGCTAGGTCTCGAAGCAAGGACTCGACACAGCTTAGACCCATTGGAAGATGATGAGCAAACATGAGCAAACTATAGCGTTGAAGGGCCCCTGCCTCGGTGCTTTTGGCAAAAGGCGCAACATGCATTGGGCCAACACCTTTTGTGTTTGGGGGGTTCTTGGGATGGAGGGGGTCTCTTTTCGGGATGTCTCTCAAAGCGAGAGACATCCCATGCACAAGCGGCCGAACATGTTCCCTTCAGTTCCCGTCTGCCGAACGTTCAGACAAAAGAACGAGTCAATGGACATCATCTCATTCTATCAATCATTTCAGGCTCAGAAATTGCCACGACTGGAGTGGAATAGTCGCTTTAGCCTTCCGCTCTTGCGTGGTCCTCCTGGCCATCAAACGTCGAAAAAACTGCAGAAACCACGGCTGGAACGAATGGCAAGTCAGGTGTCCCAAGACGACGAGGCAGGAAATGAAACGGTGACACTTCGAATTGTCAAAGCTCCAGATGGGCTCCGGATGGAGTTCTGCCGCAGTGCTTGTTGATGTCCCTTTGCTTCCAAAGGAGCAAGTGGTTGGGGTAGAGTTAGAGTGAAAGCTGCCAGGGATAACCTTGTGGTACCTGGTCGGAACACCTTGGCAGCACGCTGCTTGCGAGCTTACAACGTGGCAAAAGGGAGATGGCGGATGCACAGGGCAAGTTGATCGAAATCAGCAAAAAGTTAACTTCGCCAACAACGCAAACTGCCGGGATGATGTTGGCAGTCGCTTTGCCTGCATAATGTAAACTCTTGATATCTCTTGATTAATAAACCCTCCCATATGAGGAGTTTTAAGACTCCAAATGGGGGTTATTAATCAAGAGTCTACATATATGTCGTTTTGCTCCAGCTTTGGCAACAACAACAACAACAACAGGGCACAACGGCCAGATCAAGAAGTTGGCTTTTCCGTGTCTGCTCGACAGGACTTGCCAGTTGTCACCTCCAAATCCGCGATGCGAAGAAGATGCCGACCACGCTTGCAGAAGTGAATCTGACACAGTTGGCCTCTGTCCTTTCTGTTTTGGACCCGCCGACACGATGGGCGGTTCACGCCTCTCGCCCGGTGGAGGCATCTTGAGGCCATGAAACGGGCCCACGGCGAACCAAAAATACGGGACAACATGGTGCATTGATGGGGTGAGTTCTCTTCTTCGTTCGCCTGTGAAGCGGGCCATCCAAAATGGAAGGGGACACCTCAAAAGGACTACGCGATCGATCCGATTTTTCGGTGAAGAAGTGTCCTCCATGGATCAAACAATCCCATCATCCCATCAATGAACCCGTCCACGGATGGAAGTGCATAGAGTATCATGTTTTTGCCGTATCACGGGAATCATGGCTTGATAGGTGTTCAACTGGTCGGTATTGGCATGAGTCATCCAGCAAAGTGCTTTTTGGAGGGCATGTTTTCACAGGATCTTCCATGTTTCACACACAACCGCACACAACACAACCGAACATGCTAATTACTGTCACTGTCTTTCACTGTCCTTTTCTTCACTCATTCACTTCTAGTTCACTTCTCCAAACCCACCGAACCATTCACCACACCCATCACCCTATCACCTTTCACCCAATTCCCACGCCTGTCTACGACGGTGACCTCCTTGCCACAGCGGGTGACCTGCGGCTGCAACTGCTGCGCCGCGAAGCGCCTCGGGAGGGGGGGAGAGAGCGGGTGGAAAGACCTGAGTTTTCGGGTCATGTGCATTGCGGTATTTTTTTCGAGGTGAGGAGTCACTCCTCAGGAAGGGGTCAGCCAAAAAGTCACCCGACAAGCCTATAACCTATATATATTAATATATATATATATATATTACATATAGCAACACCTGGGCAAGGAAGAGGGTTTGATGTCAACGCTGGACAAAGGTGATCAACCTAGCTGAGATGTGCAGACTTGGTGGCGCTTTTCGGCAATCACCGACCAGGACCATCCTGTCTGCCTGTCTAGTCCAGACAGTAGTGGGCTGGGTAGTCGAATTGGGTGACCCATTTTTCATGAATTGTATGGTCGAATTTGGAACAAAGGATCCCATTTGGCCCGGATGCCCAGAAAACGTCTCTGCAAGGCCAAAGGCTGTGTGTCCGTCTGTGCGACAAAGAAATCCAGGAAAGGGGGGTCTGGACTTTTGGAGGCAGCAAAACACAGTGAACATGATGCAAGTGATGGACCTACAGCAATTCAGCACCGCAGGCATATGGTTCAAGTATTCCTCTGTTGTTTCTACGTAATAATGTAAAATAATACGATGAAACCAAAACGTCCAGCATTCTCGGCATCACAAGAGTTCACTTGCAGAAGGCAGCCGCATTTGACACAAAGATTTGGGAGTTGAGTGGCACGGTGCTTGTCCACATTTTGCTCAACTCAACCCTCGGCATCTTTTTTCACACATCATGACAACAGGAATGTCGGAATGAGAGACTTCATTTGACATGCCACTGGCCACATGACATGCCAAATGACATGCCACTGGCCATACCACCCCGTGAAACCCGACACCCACGAGACCCGACCCCTTCTGCCAAGGCACAACGTGGTGGAGAACTCCACGCCGCTCCGTGGCTGCTCGGCGGCCACCAGCGCATTAAGCCCACCGAAGGCCCTGAGGTCAGCGATCCACGAAGAGGTGGCTTTTAAGGTGGAGACCGGGACCTTCCAACCGCCCTCCCCCCAAAAATGTCATGTTGTTTGAGTATATGTGATTAGTGTTTTGAGTATTTGATTGGTGTGTTTCAGAAAGTGTTTATCTAATTATATTTGATATATATATATATATATGTTTTTTTTGTTTGTTTGGTTTGATTATAGTGTTTCACTATCATTCACTTGCTAAAAGCATGTTAAAGCAGCAAATGGTGTGTACAAAGTCACATCACAACTGGCACGTATTAATTCGTCGAATTGTAGGGCCTTCCAGACCCTGGGAAGGGTCCATGGCAACCGAGCTACGGCTTGCCCTTCGTCGCGCCGGGTGAAGGGGCCAGTTGCGGCTCCTGGGCAACTGGCAAGCTGCAGAGATCTTTGCACGACTGTTCTTCAGTCAGAACTGATCGACTGTCGACTTGTCAAAAGATCTGACTTGGGCGTAGCTAAGTTGCATCTCATCGACTTGTTCTAGCTCTGATCGATTGTCGTGCTGTTTTGGGGGGCCCTGACGCACTGGAAAGCTCAAAAAGTTGAAAAAGAATGCATAGACTGGAGTGTTCGGAGAACAACAAATCGAAGCCCTCACCCATCATGCTGTTTGTGTTCGATTTCGGCACTGGCGATCCACCAAATGCTTCTCAAATCTTGACATCCAAATCGGCATTGTTCAATCGGCGACGGATTTGCTGGACTCCGCTTTGACTCCAAGCTTCACTGATTTTTGTTCAAATCTCTCTGATTGGAAAGGGGTTTCTTTACATTCTCCGGAGCCGTTTTCCTGTTGGAGTGCCAACACAGGCGACAACCCCCTTTTTCCCCGCAAAAGAGAACACTTTTGGTGGTCCAAGTGGTCTCCTAGGTGGGTTCCAAGACCCACCCGATGCCTTGACCATCTGCAAGTTCTTGGGCTTCAAGGCCAAGCGCCGCGTCTCCTGAGCAGCGCTTGGAGTCGTTTGTAAAGCAGCCACATACTTTGAGCATCTAACAATTCAATCATCATGTCCAATGATTGACCATGTGTCCGTACATAAAAAAATAAGTACATTATATATTTTATAGTAAAACATATATTTATGTATATTATATATATATACGTATAGATTAAACTAAAATAATCTAATATATATATATATATCTATATATAATTCAGAAATCATACTATCTATAATATGAATTCATCTGCCATGCATGCCAGTGATAAGTTCACACTTCGCCCAGTCCACGCACCCACGTTCCGTGAAGCCAGAAATAAATATATATCAGAATATGATAGAATCTGTACTCGTTACTACCCTTAGGATGCCCCAAAGTCTTCCTTAACTTGTGTCTCACCCCCCCCCTCTCCACCCGCATCTCTCCTCACCCTGCTGGAGCATGACTTCCCAGCGGCCATTCTCGCCGCTGCAGCACACCGTGCCTCATGAGTCGTGTGGCGGCTTGAGCACAGCCAGAGCCGGCGCGGAGCGTCGCCGGTGTTGGGACCGGAGCTTCTGTGTTTTTGACGTGGAGATGTATGTTGTTTTTTGGAGGGGAATGGGTCTGAAGCTCTTCATATGCTGGAGATCGCATCGAAATCAGGGGCTCATGGAGCTGTCCAGGTGTACTTCAAGGGGAAAACAGACTAAATTCAGACTGGAGAATCTTGAGAACCCCAAGTCTGTGATCTGGCACTGAGTAGGTGTGCATGTTCCGCACAATTCCGCCGCGCACCATCCCTCACCAATCATTTTCCAATGAAACAGAGGTATTGTACGCGACTCTCACAAGCAGAAGCATGAAAGTCTGGTGCAAGCATGTCTCTGATGGAGAAGATCGTGGCACCCTGGTGCAATCACTCAGGCACCTGCCTTCTTTAAGGCTTCCACGATCGAAGACCTTTGGCGCTCTGAGGCATACAACAGAGCGGTCTTTCCGTAGTCATCCACAGCGTCGGCTTTGGCCTTGGCGTCCAATAAGGCCTGTACCACGTGCACATCCCACTTGTCGGCATAGGCAGCAATGCCCAGAGGAAGCTCCTTCTTCCGGTGGGGGCCGGTCTTCATGTTCACGTCTGCATTCACTTCAATGAGCTTTTTAACCAGCAGCGGGTTGCCTTTCTTACATGCCAAGCCCAAAGGGGTTTGACCTTCCTCAAGGCCATTCACATCCTCTTCGTCTGCCAAGGGCGCAATGGCCCCCCCAAATGACCCTTAAACACCGCCGTGTGCAAGGGACTACCAACCTGAGGACGCACACTGGCCACCAAGCCAACACACAGGAAAGCTACGAGCCGGAGCATGGAGAAATCACAGGCTGCAAGAGGCTGCAAATTGATTTGCTAGAATTTTGCTGAATGGGTTTGAGCCCAGACGGATTCAACACGTTAATCATTTGCTCGATCGCTTCAACCCAATTAACAGAAGATGGGTGTGTCTGAAACGCGGGAGACCCAACATCTCTGTAGTGTGCTATGTGGCCACAGATTCTACATAATATCTTGCTTGATCTTGCTTGATCATTTCCAACTGAAAGGCTTTCAAACCATGGACATGTATACATTGACTAGGGAGACAGCACCCCCAATCCGGGCGGTCTTGGGGGTCTTGAGAGGTCTCCATCGAAAACATCCATGACCGGTTGGTCCGCATTTCACGCGGCAAGGGATGCCGTGACGATGGATTTCTGAATGCCACATGCTGAAGCGATGCCAGAATTGGTTGAACATCAGACGTCTTCCAGTGTTCAAGAATTGGGTCAAATACACGTGCTTGTAACACTTTTAGCACCGACCAATGGCTTCACATACCATTCAGCACGACATTGCCAGAAATCACCGAGAAAGCACAACCTTAACCAGACCATACCAGACCTAATCAGGTTGGTCACGACCCGTTCTCCAAGAGACTATAGCCTAATAGCTATGTACATTCTGAGTGAAGAACAATCGAGCTCAACATTCAGCTGTGATCTGCGATAGAAATTGAACCAATCCCACCAGCACCACAGTTTTGGGGTTGGTTATTTGGATGGAAAACACCTCATGAGGTGAGGAGTCAGGGGTCTGCATAGTCACCACCCTTTCACTCACTCCGTAGTGGCCAATCCCAGGCGAACATCCTTCACGTTCGGACCCGCCACGACCGAGGCGCCGATCTTCCCATTGAGCTCCGGTTGGCTTTGCAGCTGACAGAGCTCCACCTACGCACAAGTCGAATACCCAAGTCTGCGGGAAGTCCACGTCCACTTCCGCTACTGGGGTGACCAATCTGTTGGGAAAGGGGACCAATCATTGGATGTTCGGCCCAGTGGGTATGCAACGGCCCATCGGAGCTTGGGGGCGCGGCCGAGGAGGAAGGGCGGCGTGGGCCTTCGGGCGTGAAGCTGCGTTCGGATCACTGGTAGCAATGAGTCAATGAGGCTCTTAGTAGTAATGCCCATGTTCCCAGCAGCGCCAGGAGCTACTAGTGGACTAATTTCCAGGCTGGAGTAAAATGAGTCAGGGGAAATGATGTGAGCATCTTAGAGACCCAAAACTACTTGAGGCCAAGGGGGGGGCGAAAGCTAGCGCTCCAGAATGGGAAAGTGGAGGGCAGCGAGGTAGGAAAAAACACGGCGCTCTTTTTGGAGGCAGGGGTGAAGAGTCCTTTATATGTGGCTCTTTGCCCGGATCCTCCTGCGAGAGAAGAGAGAGAAGAGAGACGGAAAGACGAGAGACAGAGAGGAGAGAGAGAGAGAGAGGAGAGAGAGATGAGAGAGATGAGAGAGATGAGAAAGAGATGAGAGAGATGAGAGAGATGAGAGAGACAGTGAGACAGTGAGACAGTGAGAGAGTGAGAGTGAGAGTGAGCGAGTGCGGCCGCAAGATACGCAACGCTAACCGCATGCCAAAGAGCGACGACAGGACGGAGTCGAACTTGCGAAGAGGGAGGAGGGAGGAGGGAGGGAGGGAAGATGGGAGGAAGACAAGGAGGAGGAGAGCGGGGGGGGGGAGGCGGGGGTCGGGGGGGTGGGGAGAGGGGGGGGGGGGGGGGGGGGGGGGTCTTCGACCTGAATAATCAGGGGTTAGGATTTGCACCCGGTCGAAAGAAACCTTGCTATCGCAAGAGTAACTCCAGCTAGCTTCGCTAGCTTTCGTGATGAAAAGTTAAGTTGGCACTGGGCTGATGGCCACTTCTGAATGGCAACGTCTTTTGAGTTTCTCACATATTGAGGTGACCTGCTTCTGATGTTCTGAAGACCACTTGAGGGAGAGACTGCGAAATTAATCTCCGACGTTTTCCAGGGCAGCTGCTATGTCTCAACATGTCTGAAGTGGTCTGCAACCATGCTACCCTCATATCTCAACCATCTCGTTTCTTGGACACGAATTGCTCATCAAAGCAGTAGCAACAAGTGCCTTACTAGTAGTAACAAGAAGCTATTAGTAACAAGTGC